CATGTGTTGCCTTTCCCTGCCCCGAAGCTCTCTTCTTTAATGTGATGTCAGAGTCCCAATCCATTTCTTCCCAACTCATTACTATGGCCACCCCTCAGCGATCAGTTCTTAACCCTTTGCTTCTCACACTCAAATGTTCATTCTTTGCCATGCTCTTAACTATCACATCTAAGCAGCACTAGATTCAAATCTAGAATTCTGGCTCTTTGTCCAGCTATGCTACAGTTCAAAACTGTTGAAAGGGGGCTGCCATCCACAGGAATTGTAAGTGTTGTTTCTTTAGCCATTACTCCATTGGCTCTTTGCAACAACCTGTAAAATACATATTCCTATCCCAATTTATCAATGAGGAAACCGAAGCTCAGAGAGATGAGGTACCTTGTCCAGGATTCATACAGCTAGTGAGTAGCAGATCAAGGATTCAAAGCCAAGTCTAGCTATCTGATAAAACTTGTTTATTCTCTCTACTTCTCCTCACAACCTCCTTCAGCAAAACACTGTATCACATCAGTAAATGTATGTGAAACATTTGGCCTAACCAGCTGGGGACTGTGGGGTTGTGGGATAATAGAGTAGAAAATGTGAGCAAAGTGGAATCTCAGATGTGCCACCTTCCCCTCCTCCCGGTGTCCATGTTAGCCTTACAGGCAGGCCAAGTAGTGGGTGGCTCACATAGTGGCATGTGGAAGATGCTGGATGGGCCTACTTCCCTTCAAAACATCTTTCCAATGCCCTCCCTACTCCCACTGCTCCTACAGTTCCCTAGGTCTTTAATTCCTTCAGTTTCCTATGGCCTCTCAAAGTGGAAATATACCCAAGAGCAGAAACAACAATTAGTGACACGCAATCATTCAGAAAATATTTATCAAGCACCATTTATTAAGCAAATGGGACGATAGAATAACAACCACTTATACTTGCTTAGCTCTCTAAATTTGCAGAGCCTCACCAGAATCTGAAGGAGTACTTAAGGCTGAGATTATGATCTTCTTTTTACAGATGATGCAATTGTGGCTCAAGGATTCTAAGTGACTCATCCGAAGTGACACACTTGAACCATACTTTCAGAACCAAGGCTCAGACATGGTTCTTCTGATTTTCAGTCCTATGCCCTTTCTTTTCTGTCACAGTCACTCCAGGGGTTTACAAGTGGAAACTCAAGAGAAACACACAGGAAGAATTAAATAACAATTCAAGATAATACGATAAGTAATGTCGAAGATAATAAAAGTGCCAAATGACTGATGTAGACAATAATTACTTCAGGAGTGATGGGGAACGTTGCTGTGAGTAAGAGTCAGCAGGGAAGGCTTCAGACAAGAAGTAGGACTTAAGCCTGGCCTTGGAAACTAGGTAGGAAAATGACAGCCAGAGAAGAAAGGGAGGGCATTCCAGTATGAGGGACAGGATGAATAAAGGTGCAGAGGTGAGAAAGTGCAGGTCTTGTTTGGAGAGAGAATGAGGAGATCAATTTAGCTAGAGAAGAGAGATTTGTATTAGGGAAGAAGAGAAAGTCAGATTGCAAAGGCCCTCTTGAATTTCTGACTAAAGGATTTGGGCTTGTATTATAGACAATAGGGAACTATGAAAGGATTTTGAGTAAGAGGGTGGAACTCTGAAAGCAGTGTGTGGGCAGATTACTTTGGCGATGCGCATTGTAGAGGATGCGTTCAGGTGGGGAGAGACTGGAGGTAAGGAAGAGCAGTCAGGAGCCTGTGACAGTCAGTCAGGAATAAAGTGACAAGAGCCAGTATTAGAAATGGTAGTGCTGGGACCATAAAGGAAGGCCAATTGTAATCGGCAAGATGAAGAAAGAAATGTCAGAACCTGGTGAAATAGGAAGAGACAAAAATCGAACTTACCTGAAAATTTTCAAGCCTAGGCGACTTGAGGAAAGAAGATGCCATGAACAGAAATGAGCGAGACATGTAGGGGAACTGGTTCGATGAGTTTAGTTTTTGACACGTGAGAGTGGAAGTAACAATGGAAGGTCCAAGTGAAACTATGTAGTATGCAATTGAAGATGTAGAGGAGGAGCTTGGGAAAAGGTCAGACCAGCCCTGGGAGTCAGGAGACCTTGGCTTAGTCTCTGCTCTGCACTAACTTACTAAGTCATGGACAAGCCAGCTCTCTGGGCCTAATTTCCTCCACTGTAAAGTGACGGGGTGCTCAAGCCCTAAGTGATTTCTGAGGTACTGCCAAGGACTATGAGTCAACTGAATTGTATTCACCTGGAAATATGTTCTCTCTGAAAGAAAATCAATGGTGTGATGGGGGAAGGGTATTAAATAATCTCCACATGCTATGACTCTGTGGCAGATCTCAGGAAATCTATTCACTTAGGGAGTAAAAGAGAAAGAGAAGCCAGCAAAGGAGATAGAGAGAAAGTAATCAGAGAGAGAAAAGCAGGAGAGAAATTCTAAATGGAGGGACTAAAATAAGGAACTAAAATTAAAAGTAAATAAATGGGATAAATACTTATATCCAATATGACAAAGGATTAATATATATTAAACCAAGAATACATTTAGATATACAAGAAGACCAATAAGATGCCAATCAAAGAAGGATACAAATAGTAAACATAGGGGAAAGTGTTCAATGAATAATCAAAGAAATGAAAAATTATTAAAAATAATTTTTCACCATCCAAAAAGATTTCTTATAAAGTCTGATGCTAGAGCTGCAAGGGAACTGGACACTCATATATCATTGCAGTGTTGAAAATGTGTGCAGTCCTTTCGGAAATCACGAGCCATAACAACATTCATGTTCTTTGGTCTGGTAATCCCACTCCTGAGAACTTGTCCTAGACACAGAATTACAAAGAAGAAAAAAGCCATGCACATTAAGATGTTCAAAGCACAGAAAAAAATTGACAGTTACCTAAACGTCCAATAATAGGGAAATAGCCAAATAAAATATAATCTACTTATGGATGGTAATTTTATGTAGTCATTGAAATGATAAATGTGAAAGACTGTGGCAACAGGGAAAATATTTATAATAAAAAGTTTTAAATTTTAAAAAGATTTAAATTTTTAAATTTTAAAAAGAATTTGAAAAGATATTTATAGATTACACATATAATATATATGTAATTACACATATAATATATATGTATGCAAACTGGCAAAGTATCGGAACATGGAAAAATGGAAATAATTTAAGAGGACATGCAACAGTGTCAACTGAGGTAGAGAAGTCAAAGAGGATGAAGGTAGAGAGGAGTGTTAAAGGACTTACTTAAGAGATAATTTCTGTTCTTCTGAGTGCAGGAAACCAGATTCAGACAACTTTAACTGTTTAACCCTTTAGAGTGATTTCATAGTGAGAAAATGGGGTTTGTAGTATTATTTCCAGAAATTTGACAGCGAAATGAATAAAGATGAAGAGAATGGTAGCTAGAAGAGACAGCAGGGTTAAGGTATCAGTGGTAATGTTTTGGTTTTGTTTGGTTTGTATCTTTTTCTTAAAGATGGGATGAATTCAGTGATGGAAGAGACTGAAAACAATGAAGAGGGATAAAACAAGGAATAAGAAAAAAGATCACTTCTTATTCTGGGACTGCAGGAAAAAAGGGAGAAAGACAAGGCAGATATTGAAGTGGAGTTATCGTGAATGAAGCAGAGCAAAGTAGAGGTATTAAAGCTTCTCAGTTTTGCAGAAGGAAGGTAACTCTAAGAGGTCACAAGGGGAGGATAAACTTGGAGCCTTGAGAAGGTGGAGAAGACAGGAAACAGCCTGCTGCGTTCCTAGAGAACGTTCCATAGCAGCTAAGAGGAATGAGAGCTTAGGAGAAGTTCTAGGACATGAAATTTTAGTGGGTCAAGCCAGTCTTGTGATCTGGCTTCATCTGCAATCCCCTCCAGTCCTGGGAGGGAGAAGATTAGCCCAGGGTAAAAGTCAAGGTGTTTAACTAAAGCTAAACTATAAAAGATGGTAGCCCTAAAGTAGCAGACCACGAAGTCCAGGCAGTTTGTCTCCATCACGTCTACGGGAGTTAAAGGGACTGAGGAAATGGAGGAGGCTGCGCCAGTCGTGATGTACAGAGCAGCTGTACTGGGTGAGGATGGTGGGTAGGGGAGGTGATGGGCAAAGAGGCCGTGGTCATAGGAATAAAAGGGAGAGAGTGCAGATGAGGAACAGGCCATGAAACAGCCCGGGCAATGGCCATGAGACTGGGAGACTAGTAAGAAGTAGGGAAGAAGGCCAGTTCTTTTACTCCTACCTGAAGGAGCCCTGTGTAGCAGGAAGATCCTGCATGTCTAGGGCGAAAGTGGGAGCAAAAAGAGAAACCTTGGGGCACTGAAGTCCTTTTTATTTCCTACAGTCTACCCCAATCATGCTCTCCAGAGACAGATCCCTTAGAAGCCAGTGAGAATTTGGTATCACTAGATCAGAAATCAGACAGGTCATCAAGAGTGAGACAAGGCAAGGCAAGGCTGGGGACTGACTCAGGAGACCAATAGGCTGGAAGGTGATTTCAGAAGGCCTAGAAGTGTGAGCCCACCCTTCTCATGAATGCCTGTCCAGAACTCCTTACTTCCCAAGCCTTAGGGCTTAGCTTCCCAAATTCCACATCCCCAACTCTATCCTATAATCCCATACATGCTAAGATGGCACTGGGAGAGAGGAGTGAGTGGGTGGGGAACTCTGAGGGGAGCCATCCCAGTCCCAGTTCTCCGTCTTGGCCTTGCAGCCACCACTAAAGTCCAATCTGAAAGAGCTGGTGACAGAGTTATCATTGATCTGGGGCAGCAGCTAGAAAAAGGGGAGAGATCAGTGGAGCACCAGCTCTGGGCATCAATGCCTGTCCCCACCCCATCTTCTGCACAGACCTGTTCTACCCCTCGGTGCTGGAACTTCCAGCGTATGGACGCAAAAGCTCCTCCCCCTCAGTCTAAGCCTTCCTTTCATTAAGTACAGGAGAGCTGTCAGATATGTTCTCAGCAAACATCATAAAGGAGATCCAGTGTCATTCCTGTTCCAAAGGCTGTTACAAGCTTGGGTCCTGGCCCCTGAGGCTCCTCAGTGTCCCCACCCCATGATAGGACTGTAACTCGTACTGCACACCAGTTCAACAGTGCCAGCCTTCCAGCTGCCTGTGGGGACCCTGGCCTGTAAGCTCCCTGGGATTGTGTCCTATTTCAGCACCTCAGTAGGCAAAACTATCCTGTCTTCAAGGGAGAAGCAGGAAGTGGGTGTAGGTGCTATGTCTGGCACATCCTCGCTTATGTGATATGCGATATGTAAGGTGCTCCCACTTCCTCATTCTGCTTATCACCTTATCACCATCGCATGCGTCAGGCCCATCCTGACTACTCCGCCTTCTCCACCCATCCAGGTGAACGCTCTGGCTGGCTGCAGAAACGCGTGCTGCAGGAGGACGTGGGGAAAATGGAGCACGAAAGACCGGGGAAGATTTCCAGGCAGTCTTGTAGGCCCAAGCACCAGGACCAATGGCTCCAGGAAGGGACAGACACAAAGAGACAGAAGTAGAGGTGGAGGAGTGGCTGCTACTGTCTTTAGCTAGAAAAGAGAGGGCAGCTGAAGGGTTTATGAGAGATGGGGTCACACACGATTTCCCTGCCTCCCCCAACTCCTCCGGGTAAGGGCTTGTCTCCAGAGCTCGGAGTAGAGGAGGAGCGCCTTGGCAGGCATCACCATTGTTCCCCCACCCCTGCCCTGCACTCACCCCTTTTCTCTCGCTTCTCGGCTTCCAGTGTTACAACCTGTCTGCCCCAGGGTGAGGGCAGCTACTGTCTTGGGGGGGCGGCCATCCACTTGAAGCTGCTGTCCTCAGGCAAGGACACCAGCGCCAAGGAGGAGACAGCTGTGGGAGGCCGGGGCCCGCCACCACTGCAGAGGTGCCGGAGCTGACGTCGATACTTGTCCCCCGTGAGCAAGTAGAGCACAGGATCCAGGCAACTGTTGGCGCTGGCCAGGGGCCGAGTCACTTTATAGACCACGTTGACGATGTTCAGCACCTGGCAGTCAGCTTCCCACAGCCTCGCCAGGTAGTAAACGGTGCGGGTGATGTGGAAAGGCACGAAGCAGACGGCGAAGACAGCCAGCACCACGGCGATGGTGCGGACAGAACGGAGACGGGAAGATGACTGGGCGGCGCCTGGCAAGGGCCGGTACAGGCGCCGCGCCATGAGCCCATAGCACACCAGAGTGACCAGGCAGGGCACGCCAAAGAGCAGCCCCATGACTGCCGAGCTGAAATGCACGTAGTGGTCGAACTCCTCAGGCCGAGTGGTGTCATGGCACAGGATGGTAGCCCCTCTGGTGCTGGTTGTGACGAAGAACAGGTTGGGCACGAGGCAGCCGGCTACGACCAACCAGACCGCCAGGCAGAGAAGGCCGGCAAGGCGAGGGCGGCCCCAGCGTAGTGCGCGCAGTGGGTGGCAGATGCCCAGGTAGCGGTGCACACTGATGCAGGTGAGGAAAAGGACGCTGCAGTAAAGGTTCCAGTAGAAGAGAAAGCGGACGAACTTGCATAACCCAGTGCTAAAGGGCCAGTGGTTGCGGGCTGCGTAGTAGTAGATGAGGGTGGGCAGTGACAGCACATACAAGGTGTCTGACAACGCCAAGTGGAACATGTAGGTGGCCGTGGCATCCCAGGGTCGGAGGCGAAAGAGAAAGAGCCAGAGGGCTGGGCCGTTGAGGCCCAGACCCAGCACAAAGACAACTGCATAGCTCACAGGCAGCAGGATGAACTTGAACTCCTCGTCAAACCAGCAGTCGAGCTCCACCTCACTGTCATCAGGACCTGGGCTGGGGCTTACGGATCTCACCAGCAAGGACTCTGTACTGGCCATGGCCCTCCTAGAGGGGGAGAGGGCAGAAGTGAGGGTGGCTGGATTTTCCTGGCTCCTCAGCCCTGACCTGGGGCAAGAAAGCAGAGAGCAGAGAGAGCAGTGGCTGAAGCGCTAGGGAGCACCGCAAGGAGTGTGTCCAGGAGCACTCGAGCCAGCCCAGTCTCTGCCCAAGCTCCGTCGGTCCACCCCTTGGTCCAGCCCAGGGAGCAGTGGGCAGCAGGCAGTGCCGGGGCTTAGGAGGGCAGTGGTGGCTCGGGGCTGTTCTCATTCTGCAGCTGACTCTATCCTTCACAGCCTGGCTAGCTGAAGAGGATAGAGGCGACTAGCGCTATCCAGAGTGGGAAGATGCCCAGACCCAAATTGTCTCCTAGCTCATCATCACAGCTGTGTACCTGTGAAGAGGGTCGTCTCCCCCCACAGTGCCTTCATTCACCTCTCCTTTTGCCCTGGTCCCAGTGTCTCCAGACCTCGCTGACCTCTGACACCTTCCCCCCGCCTGCCTGAGCCCAGGAGCCCCATTGCCACCCTTACCCAAGAAACTTGGCATGTCTCCTACCTGGTCCCCTTGAAGCTGAGCTCAGCTGACTCTGTCACCTAGCCCTTTGGCAGCCAGAGGGCATATCCAAGGGGGCGGAGTTGAGGGTGGGGCCTGTCCCTCCACCCATCTGGGAGATTGTAAAAGCTAGAAAGGCCCTTTGAGATGATCTAGTCCAACCCATTCGCTGTACAGATTGGGAAACGAGCCCAGTGAGATTACTATTTAACAGCTTCCAAGTGACTGTAAGAGGGAGCGCACAAGGAAACATTGAAGTTTACAGATGAGGAGCCAGGCCACTGGAGATAAATAAACTACAGGAAAATCATACAAGTCTGTGTAAGTGAGCAGAAACATGGGAAATGAATTTTAACATAGGCAAGTGCAAGACAATACACTGAAAACTTTTAGAAAATCCAACTACTGGTACAAATCTTAACTCCATATGCATGTAATTATAACAAATGCTTTTAGCATGTACTGTGTGCCAGGCACTGTTCTCAGTACTTTATACTTATTAATGAAGTAAGTGATATTATTGTCTCTACTTAGCTCATGAGAAAATGAAGGCACAGAGAGTTTAAGTATTTTGCTAATTAGTGGTTGAGTCAAGATTTGAACCCAGGCAGGCCTGCTTTTGGGCCAGGCTCTCCCATCCATGACTTCATTGCTATGCTTAGTTGCCTGTCTAAGCCACTGGCCATGATCCAAGAAAGAAACAACAAATATTTGCTGAGAACCTACTATGTGCTTGGTCCAGTTCTAGGCACTGGTAGTTCACTAGGAGTGAACAAAATGGATGAAAACTCCCACCCTAATGGTCCTTACATACTACTGGGGGATAATAAAATTAATAAGTAAAATACATAGATTGTGATAATTGTTATAGAGAAAAATAAAGGCAGGAAGGGGAACAGAGAGGGAAGGAAAAGGGAAATAGAGGATTGCTGTTTTAAATAAAGACCAGGTGTTGTGAGGAAAGGAAAAAGTAGAAGATGAGGTCAGAGAGTTTGATAGGGACAAGGTCACGAAGGTCCTGGGAGGCCACTATAAGGACTCAGGCTTTTACTTTCAGTGACTGGGAGGGCATTGAAGGTTTAGAGGAGAGAAGTGTCATGATCTGATTTACCTTTGAGAAGACTCACTGGCCAGCTCTATGCTGAGCATGGACCGCAGAGCTGGGGGTCCAGGGGCAGGCCAGGCAAGAGGCTGTTGCCAACAGAGAGGGTGGTAGCTTGGACCACAGTGATGGAGATGGTAAGAAGTGGTCAGGTTCTGGATAGAGTTTGAAAATAGAAACTGCAAGATTTACTGCTGTGGGGTGTGAGAGAAAGAGAGGAGTCAAAAATGACTCCAAAGTCTCTGCCCTGAGCAAGTGAAGGCAGAGAGTTCTTGTTGACAGAGACAGGGCAGGCTGTGAGAGGAGCGCTCTGGGGAAAGATCGGGAGTTCATTTTTCAGCCTGTGAATTTTGAGTTGTCTGTTATACATGGAAGGGGAGATGACCAGGAGGCAGTTCACGCCTCCCTAAGGATACTAGCCCATGAGCTTCCCTTACAGACTCCAGCCCGTTCTACACAGCACCCCTCATTTCTCAGTCACTCCCAGAGCCCCTGCTGTGAATAGCGGAGAGGTAGAAAGAACAAGCCTAGATGTTTGAGAGCCCAGGGCCAAGAAACACCGAATTGTCAGCAGCTCTGGCTTTGGGGCTCCTCGAACTAGCTAAGACTGTAAGTATAGACGTCCTAAGCACCAGAGGCAAACTCTGGGTGTGGAGGACTCTGAGGATAAGGTGGGCAGTGCCTTTGGGGAGGGGTGAGCAGGCTGGTGCAGAATCTGCTCTGAATGGAGCCGAGAAGCAATGGAGACTCCGAACCTGATCCTCCTGTCCTGAGAATGTGGCTGCTGGATTCTGGGAAGGAGAGGAGAGTCTAGATCTTTTGAAAAGCTCAGAGACCTGGATGGGGGAAATCTGGAGATCCTTGCCCTGTGGCAGGGGAGAGGGTGGGATAAAAGGTAGGAGTGGAGGAAGCAGTCACAACTTGAGTGCTGGACAGCTGAGACTATGATACTGCATAAAGGCCCAGGTTTGTTTTGTTTTCTTTTGTTTTGTTTTTCGAGACAGAGTCTCACTTTGTTGCCCAGGCTAGAGTGAGTGCTGTGGCATCAGCCTAGCTCACAGCAACCTCAATCTCCTGGGCTCAAGCGATCCTCCTGCCTCAGCCTCCCGAGTAGCTGGGACTACAGGTACAGGCATGTGCCACCATGCCCGGCTAATTTTTTCTATATATATTAGTTGGCCAATTAATTTCTTTCTATTTATAGTAGAGACGGGGTCTCGCTCTTGCTCAGGCTGGTTTCAAACTCCTGACCTCGAGTGATCCTCCCACCTCAGCCTCCCAGAGTGCTAGGATTACAGGCGAGAGCCACCGCGCCTGGCCTAGGCCCAGGTTTTTTGAAGCCAGGTGGATTTGAGTTCAAATCCTTATTTTTCCACTTATTAGTTATGTGATCCTAGGCATCTCTTTGTAACTTAATTTCCTCATTAGTGAAATGGGGATGACAATACCAACCTTTTAGGATTTTCTGAACATTAACTTGGTTAACAAGTGTGGAAACACTTTGAAATCATAAAATGCTACAAATCTATAAGGTATTTTATTATTATTATTATACTTTGCTCCCAGGGATGAACTTGGCCTCTTCAGAGGAGGACGAGTGTCATTTGAGGTTTGATGTACATTCAAGGGGAAGCGCTATGCTAGAGAAGCCCCAACCCAAGCCAGCTTCCTGCTCCTACTGCTCCAGGTTGGCTTAGCTCTGCTGAATTTCACCTGCCTTCGATTTGCTAGGCTCTGCCTGTCCCTGGACACAGCTGCAGCTGCTGCTGTCGCCACCACTGCCACCCAGTGGCTACTTCAGGAAAAGCCTCTCCCAACCTTCCCCAACCAGAAGCCCTAGCTTCTATCCTCACCCAGGCCAAAAGGAATGGGATGCAGTAGATCAGACAAACTCTCTTCTGGAAAACTCTTCTACACCTTAGTTTCTGTAGCATCACTCTGGTTATCCTATTCCTCTGCATGTTATTCCTGACTCCTTCCCTGGCTCCTTTTTGTCCTCCTTCCCCCAAATGTGAGCCTCCTCCCAAGGAACCTCTTCCCCTCCCCTTCCTGCCCCTCCTCTCCTCTCCACCATCTCTCTCTCTCCTCCCCACCCACCTCCTCTCAGAACATTCACTCTCACAATTTCAACTACGACTTACAAGTTATCAATAATTCTAATGACCAGGAGACTGCAGCATACAGATCTCTCTCTAATCAAAATTTCTCTCTCCCTCTTTCACACTCTCATTCCATTTGATTTCTACAGAGATTATGGCACATACCACAGGCTGCCTAGAATTACAGTCATTTGTGGTTTTCTCCATCTCTTCCCAATCCTCCCACCCCCACACCGAACCCAGAGCTCCTTCAGGACAACGTGCTTTGTTTTACCTCTGTCTTTCCCACAGCCTTCCAGGTAAAAGTATTAAGTCATTAAGTATGAAATGTCTGATTTCCTTAAGTACTAAGTTTGACAGTTGAAATCTCTGACATTTCACATTGACACTTCTTTTTTCCCCCTCTATTGTGAAGGTACATCCTTAGTCTTTCAAACACATGTTTTGGCTTATGATTATCTTTCAAATTTTTTACAGCAAATTTTGTGAAACCATAGATAAATAAAAAATTCATGTTATTTTTGAATATGAGTTCCATCATAGAACCAATGCAGTATAGACAGTTCAAAATATCCTCAAAGTGTTTGGGAAGGACATGGCTAATGAACCCACAGTACATTGATGGTTTGAGAAGTTCCGTTCTGATGATTTTAATTTTGAAAGTGAGCCACGTGGGCGACCAGACACCAAGGTGGATAATGATGAGCTGAAAGCTGTAGTGGAAGCGAATCCATCTCAACCTATGTGTGAATTAGCAGCACGATCTGACATTACTATTCCAATAATATTGGACCATTTGAAGCAAATGGGCAAGGTAAAGAAGCTGGACAGATGTGTACTACATGAATTAAACAGGTGACAGAAGAGAAATAGTCTTGAAGCTTGCCTTTCTTTGCTGTTATGATATAAAGGCAAAGCATTTCTACACCATATTGTTATGTGTGATGAAAAATAGATTCTTTTTGACAATTGCAAGCATTCAGCACAATGGTTAGATAAAGGTGAAGAGCCAAAACACAGTTCAAAACCAAATATTCATCAAAAAAAGCTAATGGTGTGTGTTTGCTGGTCCAGCGCTAGTATTATCCACTACAGCTTCATGTAAACCTGGTCAATAGATTACAGCGAATGTCACTGCAAGCAGTTGGACGAAATAATGAGGATATTTGTGATTAGGCAGCCGAGATTGATCAATAGAGGCAGATCAATCCTCTTGCAAGAAAACGCTTGACCACATGTCACACAAACAACGCTGCTCAAACTATAGGGGATGGACTTGGAAACTCTCTGTCATCCACCATATTCACCAGACCTTGCACCAACTGACTACCACTTCTTCCAGGCTTTGGACTACTACTTCCAAGGAAAAATATTCAATTCTCAACAAGCTGCTGGCATAAACAAGCTACCATTAAGATGGCAAAACTGTGTCGATAGTTTAGACACACACTTTGGTTAATTGTACTGCTTCTTGTTTGAGATATAATAAACTAAACTTTTGATTTGAAATTGAACATTTCACATTTAATGACCTAATATTATAACATATGTTCTAGATATTTTCTTTCAAATTATATGCCTTGCTGTCCAAAAAAGTCTTCCGATTTAGAGTTAAGAAAACAGGTACCTTGCACATAGTTAAGTGTTCAATAAATATTTGTTGAATGAATGAATGACCCAGTTATAATTTGTCGAATTGAGTGGTTCCCACACCTATAATCTAAGCCCTGTGTGTGTTGTTTGCTACAGGACACATCCACTTGGGTCTCTCATTGACATGTGGAATTTAGTATTCAGGAAAAGTTTATTATCTTCTTTCCCCTAACAGAGATAAATAAGATGTATGGATACCATTATGGCTGATAATCTTCCATTGCCTTACTCCTCCAGTTTGTTCCAGTCCTCTCCCTTCTGGCCCCTCACATCTAATATTCATAAATATCTTGATGACAGTTTCTCTGCAATGTTTGCCATTTTCTTGGGGCCTAAAGAAGGAAAAGGGGGAAAGCCATGGTTCTAAACTCTTTCTCTAAGTTAGGAGGAAAAGAAGGAAGGTAGGAAGGAAAGAAGGGAGGAATGAAGGGAGGGCGGGAGGGAGGAGCAAGGAATTGGGGAAAGAAGGGAAGAAATGAGGGAGGGAGGGTAAGTGATATAGTAGAAAAAAAAAGCAGGCTTTGGAGTCAGACCTAGGATTGAACTCTGGCTTCATTGCCCACCAGCTATGTGACTATGGATAAGTCTTCCTAAACAACCATTTCCTTATATGTAGAATGAGGATACTAGCACCTAGCTTGTTGTGAGAAGAAAATGAGGCAATGCATGTAAAGAAGCCAACCTGGTGTCCTCCTCCTCATCATTAGGAATTAAAATATAGGTGTTTTTGGAGGGTATGGGAGGTTCACCCCAATTGCTTGGGTTTTCTTTATGAAGTGAAAAAATAAGGTCACCAGCTGAGAGTAGGTGGAACAAGACGGTTACTCAACCTTGATGGAAAGGAGCAGTAATCTGAAACCCTGGATATCCAAGCTTACTAATAAAATCGTGGGAAAGTGACTGGCTCCATATAATTGTACCCAAGTTAGATTTATCCATATGTCTTCTCTGTAGTGTGCCCTTTCTGTCTTTCTTTTCTTTTCTTTCTTTCTTTTTTCTTTTTTTTTTTTTTTGAGACAGAGTCTCACTCTGTTGCCTGGGCTAGAGAGCTGTGGCGTCAGCCTCACTCACAGCAACCTCAAACTCCTGGGCTCAAGCAATCCTTCTGCTTCAGCCTCATGAGTAGCTGGGACTACAGCCATGAGCCACCATGCCCAGCTAATTTTTTCTATATATATTTTTAGTTGGCCAATTAATTTCTTTCTATTTTTAGTAGAGACGGGGTCTTGCTTAGGCTGGTTTCGAACTCCCGACCTTGAGCGATCCTCCCGCCTCAGCCTCCCAGAGTGCTAGGATTACAGGCATGAGCCACCACGCCCGGCCCCTTTCTGTCTTTCTAAATGTCTGTCTTTATCTCCAGCAAGGCTGTTAACAACCTTAGAGCAGAGATGAGGACCACTTTGCCCAGCACCTAGGACAGCACAGGAAGTCTCTGTTTCTGCTATTTGATCCATCTATCTCATTTTCCATCCTCCCCCGCTGAGCTAATGCCTTCGTCCACATCCCACTTGAATCTATTCGTATGCTTTCAGTTGCAATAACAGAAAATTCCAACTCAGCTGACTTTTTTAAAAAAGGAGATGTATTGTGCTAACCCTTGCTAGAGAGAGGCAAAGATATAAAATGCAACCAAAATGTTTGTACTCTCATATTTTCTTGAAATAAAATAAAATTTAAAAAAGGAGATGTATTATCTTGCATATAAGTCCAGGGGTGGGTGGCTTTGGGGTTAGCTAATTCACTAGTTCCACGATGTCATTAAAAAATCCTGATTCTTTCCATCCTTCTGATTTGCAACCTTCAGTGCGCTGTTTAGCAACCCTCACGGTCACAAGGTTGCAGTTCAGGCATTGCGTCTAAATGTGGCACTATTCAATGATAGAGTAGAAAGGCCTGTCTTCCTGTGTGTTTATTTTTATCATTCAGGAATCCCAGAATCTCCCCAGCATACCACCCCTCACATCTCAGTGGCCTGAATTTCATCATGCCTATAACTAAACTGATCGCTGGCAGTGGGGATAAAATGACTATGGCTGGTGTAGAGGACCGCAGAACTACGAGGAGGAAGGTAGGGTACCTTTAAAAATGGGGATTCTACTCATAAGAAGGAAAAGGGAGATGACTATTGAGTTGGGAAACAATTCTATCCGCTCCAACCCCTTACTTAATAACCCACCCCTTCCTAACACAGCGATCTGATCATTAATTCCTAACTGGAACGCTTGGTTGGGAATATCATTGGGGTATGCAGAAAGAGGGTGGCTAAGGACCTGAAAATATTTGTTCTACGAATCTATTATAAGGGACCAGACACTCCATAATTAGAGGTGCATTCTTTTGCCTTCTTACCATTGCATCCTTGTAACATGAAAGTGTTCCTGATCCAAATAAAACTATGGTGATAGTTCTCTTTGGGAAACTAATAATTGGAAAGGGGCACAAGGAAATTTTCTGTGGAGATGGAAATATTCTATGTCTCATCTGGGTTACATGTGTATTTACACAAATGTATTAGCTTACTATGGATACTGTAACAAATTACTACCACAGATTTGGTGGCTTAAAACAATAAACATTTATCCTGTTACAGTTCTGGAGGTCAGAAGTCCAAAATCAGTTTCAATGGGCCAAAATCAAGGTGTCAGCCGTGCCTGAACTATCACAGCCACCTTGTGACTATGAGAAACTACACAGCAGGATCCATTTTCTTCCTTTTTCCAGCTTCTAGAACTGCATTCCTTGCATTCCTTGGCTCATGCATGGCCCCTTCCTCCATCTTCAAAGCCAGCAAAGTAGCATCTTGCTTCAGTCCTCATATTGCCTTCTGTCTCTGTAGTCAAATCTCCCTCTGCCTCTCTTTCATAAAGAGACTAGTGATTACATTTGGGGGTACCTTGGTAATCCTGAATAATCTCCCCATTTCATGATCCTCAAAGTCTCTTTTGCATATAAGGTAACATTCATAGGTTCCAGGCATTAGATCTAATATCTTTGGGGGCCATTATTCAGCCTGCTACAGTAGGTAAAAATTCATTAAGCTGCACTTAAGATTTGTGCATTTTATTGTTTGTAAATTATATATCAATCAAGAAATGCACATACTTCTGAGAAAGATAATGATTTAATCTCAATCATAATAACAAATTAAAGACCTAGCAGATCTACTTTCTTTATACTAAGTTAGGCCCACGGACCTGAGTAGAAAGAGGGGATAAGTAAGTACCTAAAAGGGAGGCAGGAGAGTCAAGTGTGGGTCTGAAGACAAAAATGGGCTGAAGACCAGTCAAAAAAAGTAGATTCATTCTGACTTTTCATCTTCCCCACAGACAACACTCTTGGCATGTATATGACTCTTTATTATATGTCCAGCATTAGTTTCTACTGCACTATGGTCCCTGCAGAGTCTGAGATGCTCATTCCATCTGGAAACCCCTGAGAAGGAGAGAGTTACAGCAACTAAACAAGGCCCAAAGGTATATATTGCCCAGGAATGGCAGGGGCTGACACAGTTAACTATGCAAAGGGAATACAAGATGGCTGTCCAGGGCCCTCAGTGAGGAGCAGGAGTTAGGGAAGGCCCTGTCCAGCCCTTTGAGCCATAGCCATAGCTATCCATTGAGGAGTGGACACCTCATTGGGGGGTTGAGGACTGTGTTTATAGATAAGTACCAGTGACCAGCCAGTTCTAAGGGAAAGTGGAGGGGGTCAGGGCCCTGGATCCCCAGAGCCTGGAGATTCTGTCTCTACATCCTCCATGCCCATGAAGCCTGCGCTCTATAGGAAGGACAGTCGAGAAAGGAGGATTACTTTGTTATTGCCATTGTGGGGATCCTGGCAGCTGTAAGGACAGAAATATCTCTAATTCCATAAGTGGTCATATGAGGCAAGAGAAGCTGCTTAGAGCATGGATTTAGTTTCAGAGATTGGAAAGAGTCAAGAGCTGGGGCCGGGGGAGAGGTTACCTTAGGTGAGGGCAATCCAGATGTCAATTGCCTATTCTCTCAACATGTAATGTCCTGCCAGGAGAACCTGTCCGTGGGCCAGGAATCCGATGTTACCTTCCTCTCCAAAAAGGAAAGAAGTTCAAGGCTCACAGACATGTGTACACACAGCTCAATACACTCAGCTCCTCCCCCTCCTGTCCCCACTACCTGCAGGAGATTGACTCCCACTGTGTACATAAGCTGGGATAATCAGGGTTTCTAAACATGGGCTTCAAGAGTCCAAAGTGCCAAGTGGTGGGGGCTGGGGAAAAGGTACTCTTTATCATACCCTTGGCTTTTGTGTGGCCTGGAATGGCTGATATAGAGACTGGAGTGTGACACAGGCTCTTCTTTCAGAAACACAAGGGCCTATACTTTGAGCCCTCCTATTTCTATCCCTGACAGTGCTTCACCTGCAAGACCTCCAACTCCACCTTGATCTCACAGGTTCCTCAGGTTCAAGGCCTCACAAGGCCAAAACCCTGTAGCTCCCCTTCTCAAACTCCCTTGCCTTTAACATCATCATTATCAACCTCCAACCCCACCCTGTCCCAACAGCAATGGCCTGCTAATCTTTTAGCTACTAATCTCTTAGGCAGTAATCTGCTTTCCAAACTCTTGGCACCTGAGCTATTTATAGCAGTGTTTCATGCCCCCCCCCAGAACCCTATTCTCCTCTGACCCCCACCAATCTAAACACTCAGAGGACTGTGAGTATAAGAGGCTGGGGAGGTAAGCACAACTACCAGAGCTGGACACTGATGTGAACTTCACTATCTCCCCAGGTAATATTCCAAAGCCCTCTACTACTAGCCCATTCTAAGCCCTATATCCCTTGCTCTTAGCATCCCCCCTTAATATATCAGGGAGCAGTTGAGGAATACCTTTCCTGACCCATCCACCATTCAGTTCAGGCTGAGAGCCCCTGCAAGAGACCTCTGAAAGCTTCCCTAAGTTCACCCCTTGGGCCAAGCCTAGTATACATCAAAGGGAAGCACTAGAGAGACATCTTCGTCTCTCTAAGCATCCCTACCTGAAGGCCTAGCACCTGAGGACAGGGATGAGGATAAGGGAAAATCTGGGGACAGAGATAAGATAGATGAATAGGTTCAAGGAAGACTTTCAACCTCCATAGAGATTTCTGTCACCAACAACCAAGAGCATGAGGACCAACTGCTTCTCTCCCATACCTTTCTCTCTTCTTAGCTGAGGGTCAAGGCCATGATGAGGTGAACCCAGGCTCGGGGTCCATTGCAGGAGCAGAAGGAGACAGAATCCATTAATTCATTCATGTATCTAACAAACGTGTCTTGGCACCTACTGTGTGCCAGGTGGTGCTCAGCCTCACCTAGACCAAGAAATACATTCTCCTCATACTTTTCTGGATGAAAGTCTCTGCCAAGCCCCTTTCCAGACAAATTCCTTCTCTCTGAAGGCTCTCAAGAGTGCCCTAGCCATTCCAGAAAGTCCCGGCCTTTGCAATGAGTGGATAGTATGGTTAGTCAGTGATTTGCACAAAATAAGGAGGTATTCTTCCCCTTGCTCAGGATGGGTAAGAGTATTGCTGAAGAAGTACCCTTGGCAGGAGGGAAAATAGGAAGCACTTGGTGGTGGTGAGGTGTCCATCTTGGGAGGAAATGTTACATCGCACTAGGTGTATATGGATGGTAAACTGGAGTGGGGTAAGGAGAATAGGGACCTTACCCTACTCCAGTGATTAAACCTTTCTTCTTCTTCCCCTCTTTCCAGAAAAGCTCAATATCAACTCCATGGCCAACACATCCAAGTAAGTAAGAAAGAACTCCTTCCAATGCCCTGAATCTGTGAACTGCTCTCTACCCAAGTATTTTTCTTTGGGGTAGAGGGCTTTCCAACCTTTCCCTAACTTGTGGCCCTGGACTCTACCCCAATTACCTCTACCTTTGTTCAATCCTATGCTCCTGGAGCCTCTTCTCCTAGGCCTAGGAATATTTCCTCTTCCCTCCATTTCTCTTTCTTTCCTCTCACTTCCTCTCCTCTTCCCTGTTCTCCCAATCCCCCTCCCTATCCTCTTTCTGGTTTTCTCCCCATAGGGTGTTTAAGAAGACCAGCTCCAATGGCAAGGTGAGAACCTGGCCCAGCTGGGCCAATGAGAGGGCAAAAGGTATAGGTGGGTACATCCTTCAAGGTCTCAGGGGTTTGGGTTGGGGGATTCAGAGGAATCTGTTCAAAGATGATTGTGAGAGTAACATGGGAGGTTGTTCCACAACAGATCTCCATCTACCTGGGGAGACGGGACTTCGTGGACCATGTGGACATGGTGGAACCCATTGGTCAGTGAGTCCAAAAAGGGGAAAAGCCTGAGGAAAAGGGAATGGGAGCCAGGGAGTAAAAGAAAGCCAGGAAGTCCATGCAGAAAAGGAAGCCAATTAAAGGGAAGAATGGGAAGAACTGTTTTAAGAATCAACTTCTGCTTTTCATAGTCTGAGAGTTTTTCCTGACCAGGATGCTATCTTACCCTCTTTTCACAGATGGTGTAGTCCTGGTTGACCCTGATTACCTAAAAGGTCGAAAGAGTAAGTGGAAATCCTTGTTGGTCTTTGTATGTTTTAGGGGTCTCAAACAGAAACATTGCACATGCCAGACAGGTAATCTGAATGAGTGGACTTGACCAGAGGGTATAAGAAAACCAGAAAGTGGCAGGAACTGTGAATGCCTTGTCTGGTGAGGGCTGACAACTGGGAATTCCAACCCAGTGTGGCCAAATTTTCTGATTGCTAAAGAGGAACTAGAAATGAAGCTCAGAATAAGTAAGACCTTTAAAGGCCCAAAGTTTAAAAAGACTATGGTATCCCTTCCCCAAATAATATTTAAAATAAATATATTCCTAAAGTATAAATTAAATTTTAGTTTTGAAAATTACCCAAAACTTACATGTGTGCTGAAATTAAAATAGGTTCTTTCTAAAATTTCTGATTTTCTCCGTTATTGTTATTGGCACCCCTGCTTGGCTATTGATTTGAGTACGGACTTAAATTGTTCATGGAATGATCCAAATGCCAAAAATCCATATTTTTATGCAAATTTCCTGATTTTCAGATGTTGGCAACTCATTAAAAGATTTTAAAAGGCCTTGATAAATGAAAAAATCTGTTTTTCTGTAGGCTGGATGTGACCCTCAGGGCTGCCATTTTGCAACCTCTGGTATACATCTTTCCATCTCCCTTTTTATGTAGGGAAAATGCCTAACCTTTCCTTTAAAAAAATCCTAAACAAAGAAACAAAATGACAACCACAGGAAGTAACAGCAAGAGACATTACTCTGGCAACAGTACTATAGATCAAGATTATACTGAATTATGATTATTTTTTGCTGCTTTTTTTCCTTTTAATTCTCACTATGGATTAACCCCACTGTGATCCAACTAGACTGAGAATTGGGTTTCATTTGAAACAGGCTCAGAATGAGTTCATGAATACTAGTTCAGATATAACCTTTAACTATTGGATAATGAAGTAGCCTTAATCTCTCAGATTAAGCAGTGTGGATAAGCAATCCAGCCAGTTTTAAATATCAGAGGAACTTTTGGGTATACCCATAAATTAACCAACTTATTTAAGGTTTCCAAGTACTCTATATTTCTAAAACCTAAATTATTTTTTCACATCCCTACAAAATCTTCAGAATAAGCTATGAAAAGAAATCTTTAGTTTTAAACAAATATATGTTGATCCAGGAGTAAGATGTATTTTTCCTTTTATTCTAATCTTTTATGTCCCCTTAGTAGAGTTTTATATTATTATTCATTTAATTTGAGCATATTTCTTAAGTTTATTCATAGGTATTTTATACATTTCATTACTTTTGTGAAGATCATCTTAGTTGCATTATATTTTCTAATGTGCTTTTCTATCAACATGTATTTGTTGATGTAAAATATGATTACTCTAACCATTGAGTGATAAAGGCCAATGATAGGGGTAGTATATGTGGTGGTGTGAACAAATTGTTGCTTAGCAAAAATTTGTCTGGAATCTCTGTGTATTATTTATTACAACTGCATGTGAATCTACAGTGATCTCAAAACACAAAGTTTAATTTAAAAAAGGCAATGAGAGAAATATTATTCCTAGTATAGTATAGCATGAAAACCTAAGGTGGCCTCATGTTCAATTATAGTAACAAATGAAGTTGGGAAGCATACACAACAACTAGGAATAGCAGTTATCTCTGGAATATGATGTATTATAGCTGAGCTTTGATTTCTCTTTTTGTTTGCATTTTCTGATGTTCTCAATCAATATATATTATTTGTATAATAAACACAAATATAAATTAATAACTTTAGAATAGACATCAATTTATGAAAGAAAATAAAAACAAGCTATTTCCTAGCACAAAAACCAGATGATTCTAAACTGCTAAAGAGCCAATTAGAGCTTCAGCATGGTGGCAGCTGATGACTTACTCTGCTGCCATCTCCACGCAGGAACAGCAAGAGATGCCAAGAACAAGTCATCGGATTAACACCCTCACTTCAGGGACTACTAGATCCCCCTCTGCCTTGACCCTCTTGACCTTTTCCTCTCTCATTCCTCATCGCTTTCATTTCCTCCCTGATCCTGCCTCCTTCCAGTCACCTCTTTTCCTCACCTTCTTACCTTGTCTGTCTTTTCCTTTCCTTAGTTTTTCCCTTCCTTTTCTTTCTTTCTCCTTTCTCCCACTTTAATTGGCCATAATTGAGAACCAAGTGAATCTATGTCTTGTATCTTTTGAAAATCAAGTTTGTCTTTATTGTAGAAAAATTAGAGAGCACAAATGAGAAAGAGACTGTAATCTTATCATCCTTAATCACTAATAATCACTAATAATATTTCAGCTCTTATTTATTCACATTTTCTGTACAAATGTATCTATATTTTCACTAAAATGCTATACTATGAATATTTTATTATCTTCTTTTAAACCTATATCAATATATAAAAACCTATAACTTTTAAAGTTGTCTATATGTGTTTTGCCAATCTTCAATTGTTGGGCATTCACTTTATTTTCAATGTTTC